ACCATTGAATAGTTAGCTCTAACGCCAGTCAAACAAAGACAATAGCAAGAGAAGATAAATGCATTGCAATGGTAGAATGCTTTCACAACAAATAAGCAAAGTGCTGTTCGATAGAGATCACAGGTGCATAGCTTAAAATCTTTGGAAGGGATTTTCAGTATTGGAATCTAAAGACCAACAGGTATTATCGGATGGTCAATGTAGATTTTCTGCCAACTAAATGTAAAAAATCCAGTACTGAATTATACTGAAAAACATGACATTTAGATTGAAATTTCATAAAAGCATGTGAATTCTGAGTCAAGTATGTTTTAAGCACCCTAAGCCCACACCTTGGATTTAGACATGTATCAATATACATAGGCTTCTTGAGACCTTGTACCACAGTCAGTGTTTTATACCACTAGAAAACATGTAAACAAAGAATGATCTATTTCTACCTTCTTTTAATACTTACCATTTGCAATAGCAAGACTTTCCACTGGATAATAAGGTGAAGGAAAGGTAAGTGCTTTACTCTCAGCAGATGTCCTTGAGCGTAGCAGCTGAAATTCAATGTACCATATCGAGTATATATAGTGGTTAACTAGAGAGAAATGTGTTGTTTTTTGGAGTGCTAAATAAAAATTTCCATAGAAACCCTATAGCTTACTACCTTGAACTTGGAAAATGACCATTTGAGGGAACAAAATCAAATAGAAAAAAAACAATAGATTCTTACAGTAAAACACTTAACAAAGAGTTAGACATGTGCCTGTATGAAGATTGGCACCCACTCTAAGCTGAGAAGAAAGCAAGTCTTTACACTGAGTTTAAGCTAAGATCTAAACCATTATGAGAGGGACGCAGAGCCATTGTACTCAACGCTTGCATGAAGAATATCTGTGGACTTTGTACAAACCAGTTTCTCTGTACTTGAAGGAGCATTTTATGGAGCTGTTCTTAGCTTTGTGTAAGGTCACTGTGACACAGACCCACTGAGAACAGGCTAGAGTAAAGCAGGAGAAGGAAGGAACTCAGTTTTTCCCAGAAAGGAGAAAAAACATTGATCAAAAACTGCTCTCTCCAGTGTGATACAGCCTAGAGAAACTAGATCAAGCAGCAAAGTCTGCTTTCTGCATCTTCAGCGTGATTCAACCAGTACCCAAATTACTGATTTATTTTTAATAACCGTTGACTAGAGCTGAAAAACTAACCTAGTGGATGTAAAAATAATAATTTCAAAACACTTCTGAGATATATGAGGGTATCACGTAGCAAAGCGTCTGAAACAACAAGTTGAGAGATTTTTACATTATGTCCGGTGACAGAGCACAGGTCAAAGTTCTTTTGACATATAAATTCACGTGGATAAGGTCATGTGTATGGGACGTGAGAAATTAATCTTTTTCAAAAGTTTGTTTTACAAATTTTTGTAAAACTTTAACATTCAGAGTTGCTTATCTGTATATGTGCAGGATGCTAGAGATGTGCTTCTATCATTTTAAAACTTAACCTTTGTAAAAAGGATAGTACTCCATGTGAAAGAGGCCCATGCCATCTATTCTGTAGAAAACTTTTGTCCTTTAGAAAATTTCCTTACTTTTCTAAAAGTTATTTTATATAATCAATTGTAAAATAGTGCATCCATTTCATAGTCCTGTTTATCCTGTCGTGGAACAATGTATACTTTAACCTAGATGTCAACTGGTAGATAGATGAAACTTGTCTGCTGTCAGCCAGTAATAGCTTTTTCTACTCCTCCTTACTAATGATCTCAGTAGTTGAGAGAAAAGTCAGAATTTCCATTTCATAGGAAATTCAAATATTTTGACATATGGTTTACCCAAACTTCAGATGAAAACAAAATTTGAAAAAATTTTGCTTGGAAAATGTGAAAAAAATGTAATTTGACACTGTAATGCATCTGCTAACAGTAGCATAATGCCTCCTGGAAGCAGAATTTTTAATGATTTACCCCATCATTCTTGCCATGGGTTCTTTGACTAGACTACTTCTGCTGTTATGCTTTTGGTTTTTGACTCATGTGATGCCTTGTCTGGCGTCTTTGAGATGCTGGGCTGCAGATAAACAGGTCAAATTGATTGACTATTTAGGCTTAGTTCCACAAACCAAAATATCTCTATGCAGGTCAACCCAAACCAAAGCACGTCATCTTTTCCTTCTTTTCCTATTACGAACTCAGTAGCGTTTCCATAAAAATATATGCATCTTTGCAAAAATATAATTTTCCATTGAAAAAGCATATGATTAAAAGTCCTGACGGGATCTAATAAACTCTTTCCTGCCTGACCTACTCCTTAATACAGAGGTTCAAAATAAATCTTGTACTTTTGTAAAATTTCTAACATTGGCCGTTCCCTCCCTATATGTGGTGTTCATTAATATCAAAGCAGTTTAACTTACCTTATCCTACTTCCCTATCTTTCCTTTTCAATCTATTAAATATGCTAATACAGTTCTACCAAGTATATTCTGCTTTCAGTCTCTTTGAAGTATTTTCTGTTGTTGTTGTGTTTCTTTTTGGGTTTTTTTTTTGGGGGGGGGGATTGCTTTCAGCGACAGCTAAGAGTGTGATGATCCATAATTTCTTTAATCGCAAATACTTGGAAATGTGGGGTAGTAGGCGAAGTAGAGAAACATATTCTGGGTAAATATTTGGTATTATACTTACCTCATTCTGGACAAGACCACAAGTGATAAGGAGAAACACAAGTGTGTACTTTATAGTACAGAAAGAAAAAAAAAGATATTTACAAATTATGAAGTACTAAAATAATTTTTGTAGCATATGGAACATCTACAAGAGGTTCATTTGAACTACCAGTGAAATAAGATCCTCTTTGAAATAGTACATTTGATCAGACTGTAAGGAAGAGTTTGGTTTAGTATTGCAGCAAAAGATACAAGCTGCACTAAAGGAATCAGTGAAAAGAATGGCAACTGATGTGGATAAAGATGGTGTAGGAGTGTATGTGTGTGTGTTGTCACAAGCATTCGTTTTTGGAGTTTACCTAACAGAAACATGATTGAAATGTAACACAGTAAATGTGATATTCATACAAAGCGCAGAAATGCTATGAAAGAGATGTTTCAGAATATAAACCAAATGCAGAAATGTACTTCTGCTTGTATTGAATTTAATAATTAAGACTGTTACCAATTTAGGAAAATATAAGGGGAAGTTCTAAGTAAAATTTATCAAGTGAAGAAGAGCACAGACAAGAAAGGCGAGTCTACAGAGAAGCTATCAAAGAGGAAGGAAGCAAGCAGAGGAAATTTAATTAAATTTTGGGATGGTTAATGCAGGGAGAAATAAAAGGGTGGTAGATGCTGTGGTTGACAATATGCAAGGGATATTCCATGAAGTAACAGAATGATGTAGAGCTGACTGGGACATACTATAACAGGCCGCAATTTCAAATATATGCTATAAAAACACAAATACAAAAATTTTATTCGCTTGTGAGAGTCAGATGATAAATATACCTTCTTAGCTGGTTTACATATGCAACATGTGCCAGTATGAACAATCACTTTTATGGGCATAATTTATGAGGGCTAGCTTTTGAATTTTGATTCAATAAATCTAAATGTGTTCTATAAATACACATCAGAATCTGTGTGTGCTAGGAAATGTGTACTGGTTGTCTCTCATTTCTTTTCCATTTCTAGGCTCAGTTCCCCAGTCCAGAAATGCTCTTACTTTATATTCCTCTTTTAACCTTTGGACAGCATCTCATGTGTCTTTACAGCTTTTGCACAAAAGCTGATTGTAGCAATCTTTTAATTAATTAGGCATAACATCACAAAGAGGCGGGGAAATTTCTCTTTTGTGCTTTTACAACATTTTTTGGTGTGAGAAGGTATAATTGATGTTCAGTGATTGCCAGAACTTCCACCCAAATTATGCAATACATATCTTGATTGATTGTGATGATCATCAGCATATGTTTGCGTGAGGAGGTATACCAGCAGAGAGACTGGTAACATAATGAGCATAACTGCAACTATTCTTGCTTTAATTTTTCTGGCATGGTTGGGTTGGGGGGGGGGGGGTATTCTCCTTGCATAGAAATTTATAAAGATCAGTGATTTTAGTAGGGAAAAAGAAAAGTAGAGATACTGAAAGTTGAAGTTCAGTGTACTGAAAGGAGTAGGCAAAAATAACACAGGACAAAATTCTGAAGCAACTTCTAATATACCGTGCAAATAAATGATATCACTAGAAACACGTAAGATCTGTTTAATACACAGCTGCATATCGCAGTGCAGTGAACTCAAAGGTACAGTTCAAACTCAACCTTGGATGCTTAGAATCAACTCATTTTATGGACTTAGGAGTCACTCTGTGATTTGCTAGGGAGATAGACTAAGATCCAAAATACACAAAGTTCCTCTTAGCTTATAGAATAATATTCTGAATTTCAGAGTCTAATAAAAGAAATTCAAGTTGATCCAAAGTGTTAGTATTTATTCTCTACAGAGAATTAGCTACATCTTATGTAAATGCCTGCCATCAACAGTGGTTCTGTATTACGTCAAGGTTTCTCTGAGGAGATAGATAGGAGCTCATCTCCTGCAAGTATTCTGAATTTCCCTGACGATTTTTCTGCTCCACTGGCTTACCTGTCTTTAGACCTTTATGCCATACATATATAATACTGTTTTATCTCTGCAGCTGTGCATTGGATAAAATTTGGAAGGTGTTTCAGGCCATTCCTCTGACGGTGTCAAGTTACTGATGTTGACCATATTAAGCAATGTGGCATGCTCTTTATGGTGAGAACACCAGTGGAAGTAGTGCTAGCTGGTCTAGAAAACTGAAGTATTTGGACCTGCATATTAAAAACTCAGAAGAAAAGCCCATTTATGAGCGCTTACAATGGGCTGAACGCAACAACTTTATGCATCTCTTTGTTAAAATTTTGGCTACATGCATGCACACACCATGTTCTAAGTTTATTCTTTCCTAACCATGGACTTTCTTTTTTCACTAGGGCGTATTTCAAAACATTTGTCCCTCAGTTCCAGGAGGCAGCATTTGCTAATGGAAAGCTTTAGACAACCTTGGGCGCTGAGGCGATACCGGATAGATTCTTCAGTCTACACGTGTCAGCCCCCACGAATTCCTGGACGTGGGTTGGATCGTCTCAACAGGTGCTTTCTTGCCTCAGAAATGGGTTAAATTGCTTCAGTTTTTGTCAGATTTGGGAAACACAGACCTCAGCTAGTAAGCTCAAAACCGAGTATTTGATAGTCACCCTTATCCCATCGCCTCTGTCACCACTACTCCTTTATGCATCTACTGGATTAATTTTAAAAGTGTCTGTTTAGATGTGATAGCATTTTCCTGTGCCAAAAATGTGCTATGTGTTATGCCTTGTTTCAGAACTGCTTGTCTTCAGATGGTGTTGATTGGATTGTTCCACAAAAATATTTTGTCTGTTTTGAACCTTTGTATATTTAGTTAACATTTCCAGTGTAACCTAAGAGCATATAAGACTGCCGTATGTACCAGAAATGCCTAATGGACTACATAGTGCCATATTCTGCCTTGGATGATTGCATCTGATTATGGTTGTTACTCTCACAGGTATGGATATGAGTTGTGCAGTTCAATTCTCAGTGCCTTTCAGGTTGGTCTGATAGTAATATGGCAGGGTTTGGAGTTTTTTTCTCAGTTGTAAGGTCATCCTGTATTAAATGCTTTGGTTTTATGCTTTGTTTTTATTTCCACTTGTATACTTTCAGTATTTTTCTAAAGAATTTTCCTTTCTGTTATGAAAAAGTTCTACTGCTTTAGTACCACTGCACAAGGAAGTAGTTATATAAATTAGTATAACAAAATAAATCTCTTTGCTAGACCTATAATTTTTCCAAGTAAGATAAATACTACTGAGGAGCAAACTTTTCACAAAAAAATGAATGATGTTGTGGAAAACAACTGATAGAATAATACAGGGCTATAGATGTATTTAGCTTAATGCTTAAGTTCAGCATGTCTTCTCAGAAATTATTTTAAGTGTATATAACTGGAAACATTACCTCCCCTAATTCTGAAATGCCAAATGCAAGATCCTGCCTATTCATCCTTCCTTTCATGCTGTGTGTCAGGCGCACCAGACACGGCAAACTCTCATGGTGTCACTTCCCAAATTAATTTGTAAATAGACCAGGGTACTTTCCAGTAAGGAATAAAATTAACTGTGTATGTTGTTTATAAATGGCATATGGAAAATGTACCCTACTTCTGCTAAATGTAAGGAACTAAATGAACTGTATGCAGTTGATACAGCGGCACTGAAAAAACATTTAATTTGAAGTTATTCACTATATCACCACTATCTGCTTATGCAATGGAATCACATCAAAATAACTGATTGGCAGTATTCCCCCTAGCCTTTCCAACACTCGGGATTTTTACTAAAATTGGTGCTTTTCAGTGAAATATCCACCTAAGGAATAGAGATAGATTTTGTGCATTGAAGCTTAATAATTAAAAATTCCGCAAATAATTTGACCCTAGAAACTACAGATATTTTTAGCTATCTTATACACAGAATTCGAGCTTGTATCTTGTAGTGAAGTTCTTGACTGGAAATTAAGCTGCAATCAAAATTAGAGGCCTTATTTCAAATCTGCTGAAAAGGGGTCATGTTCTGTCCTCTGAGCCATCCTCCTGTGACTCTGGCTACTTTATATGAGAGCAGTAAACATCTCCAGAGGTCTGAGGCTGCCTTCTCTCTCTGGAGGCATTGTGTTGGGCTTTTGTATGCGAATCAAGACTTACAGCAGACGTGGAGGGGTTTGGTTTTATGTGAATAGTAAAGCTGTAACTCGACAACCTTAAATGACTAAAAACAGACATCGTTGAATATACTGCGACACTCTCAAATCTGCGTTTCTTCAGGTAAAAATCAAAGCCAGACACACACACTGAAGAATAAGCTAACTCTTGTGACTGAGGAGGGGGGAGGAGGAGGGCTAATGAAAAACATTTGTTTTCATAATATTCAAAATCTTATAGAAACAATCTCTAGTTAATCTTCAAAAGGAAAAAAAATCTCAACAAGTTTCGTCTGTAGATCCCTGGAGCCTTACTTTTTATAGCAGTGTTTGATTCAGCATTGTAGTCACCACCCCATGAACACAGTATTAGTTTTATGTACTTGATTGCCCTTGATACAAGTGTCACCAATAATTTTTTTTTAACTTTTCAGTAATTACCATGATGCTCTCAAAGGCTAGCAATTGTGAAACGTTTAAAAAGGAAGTCCAGTCTTCACAATTCACATTCCTAACCAAAAATGTGTCCTTCAACTAAGTCTGAAGAATTTTGGACAAAGGACTGCTTTATTGTTAAGGTGTAAGTGTTTCAGAAGCTTTGTGAGAAAAGACTTTGAGGATATAAAAAGCCCAAACCAGCCATTGCTTATGTTAAGTTAACTGGTGTTTCACCAACTTTTCACTAGCATATGTAAAAACAAACTGGTGGTTTCAGTATGATCTTACCTGACCAGGTGTTCGTCTCTTTCGTGCCACTAGCACTATTCGGCAAAAGTTTAGGTAGAAAAGTTGAGAAATTATATTGCTTGTGTTTGGGATAAAGTCTGCAAGCCTATCAATTTTCAGGTTAGGAAAAAGGCATTTTTTCTTAAACAAAACGAACATTTTTGTTATTTCAAAGCCCCCCTGCACTCTTTGACCCACCCAGTATTTTACAGAACCCTTCCTGACAGTTCTCAGGAGAATGTATTCTGGATTTCAGCAGTACAAATGGGATATTAGGAGGAAAGACGTGGCTATGAGTGAATTCTTCTCTTCTAAAAGAAGATTACGTATAGATACTAAAACAAAAGAGAGAATTGGTTTGAATAATTTTATATCAAATCAAATATTTATTGTAGCAAGTTACGTTAGCCACAAGAGTTGTAATCTAATAAACTGGAGTTAATTCTAGTATCTCTTGTTGTATGGTAATATCCATTTTGGCCAGTTTGATGGGAATGAGACTTTCAGCTCTTTCTTTCCTGCTATGTGATATATGCAATTAAAACGAACAATCAAACCTAGGCTAGTTTCTGTGGTTTATGAGAATCACAAAACATATGAGAAAAGTAGCAATGTTAGGAACATATCTGAAAGCTTAAGTTTACTCTGTCAGAATTTTAACTGAAGGAATGCAGTAAATCTTTATTCACTAGACCCCATTAATGCACAATTTTCCAAAGGTCCTTAGAGCTCAAACTTACAGCTGAGCTGATTTATTCATCTGTGTACACAATCCACTGTGCTAAAAGTAATACCAAATAATTTAGATTCAAAGCTAGAATTTTTGTGAACTTGCTGCAAAGCCTGGATAAACATCTGGAAGAATAAATAAAAATTAACAATATTCTGTGTTGTTTGGCCTTCATTGATCTGTCTGTTGTGCTGGTCATTGCTTTGTTGATCAGCGTGTTTCATCTGCTGAATCAAGAACATTTTCAGCATCTTCTGTGTCTTTAAGCATCCTCCCATTCATTTATGGAGTAGATTTGACTCCGTTTCTGAGAAAAAAATCATTGCTGAAATTAGCACGCATCTGCTACGCATTGTTAAAGCCTTACTAGGCGTGCCTTTTTGTGTATTTCCTTGCTCTCCTCTACTTACTGCACTCAGCATCTTCAGTGAATCAGTCAGGAAACCAGATTTAGCAATGAAGTGCAGTACCTTAAGTCTTACCTCAGGTGATTTTACTCAAGGAGACTTCTAAAGTAGGAAAGAATGGAATAAGTCCCTTCAGTCTCCTCCTTTACCTGTCCCCTAACGTAAGGCTGGGGGTTGCGTAGGGATCAAAAACTGCCCAAGCGGTACGGCCTGCTGCTTTGTTTTTCCTTTCTCGTCTTCTACGTCAGTAGCCTTAACACAACGGGAGAAGCAGCAGGCGGTAGAAACCTGTGCTAGTGTGTGAGGCGCGCTCTTACGGCTTGCAAATACACTTGTAAGACCAAGTGTGAGCAGGAACAATATTTGAGCATGAAAGGGCAGCAGTATGCGGAGTCCTGTATCAAGAGAGAAGGTGAATCTCTCACCCTTCCAGCTGGCTGATTAAGGCATGCTGCAAGAAGCTAATAAGCTTTAGACACAGCTTCTGACCATGACTGTTAATTACAGGGTGCTGTGCTTTACCAATGAAGCAAACAAAATCTGTGACCAAGCAGGCTACCAGTGAACACTCTTCCCTTAAATTACTAATGTCTCAGTAATTGATGTATTGTAACGCTCATTAAATCTAAAGGTAGCACTGTTTAGTACTTCTTAAATGTTACTGAAAATCCCATAATTCATCTCCTTTAGAGTTTTTATTTTCAGGTGTCTGTAATGTTCTGAGGCAATTTGGCTTTATCCCTGCTAGTTAATGCTATTTTTAGCCAGGCTGAGGTTCATGTTTTAACAAGGCAAACAGTAGTTATTCAAGTGCCTGCTAGTGTCCTATGGGCCTGCATTAAATATAGAATGATTTGCTGTAAAAGAAATCATTCCTACTGTAGAAACTGGTCTTATTTATTAAGCTCAATATTATATCCTCCACAACAGAATAATTGTGAGGAAATGCTCCATTGTTATGCAGAACAGAGCGGATGATCATGCCAACGCCATTATATACATCTCCTTGCGCCAAACCTTCGTTTCATTTTCATCTTAGCATCAAAAGGGGGAGAGTGTATCCTCCTTTTCTGAAGAAAGCCTGCACCTAAATAAACCATTGATCAGGTTGTATCTCTTCCTGTTTGTACATTGAGACAATAGGTTTTGTCCTTATGGGCAAAGCCAGTAAAAGTCTGAACCATATACATCAACGGAACAGTTTTTTATAATTATTTTTACTAAATTCTGTAGATTCAGAGAATAATTTCAAACTTTGCACTAGAGAGAGGTAAACAACACATGGGCAACTATCAGAAATGTGCAAGTATTTTAGCTATATATGAAATAAAAGACTAGCGGTCTACTAGGTGTTAAAACTCTTAAGTTCTTGCAGAGTAATATTTCTATAAACATGTGGCCTTGAAAAATTCATACCGTGTATGTGATTTTAGTGCTGCTTTTCCTATTGCATTCACTGTCTATGTTTAAAAGCTCAGTTCTTGGTTCCAAGGCACTGCACAAACACCATTTTGTTAAAGTGGTAGTTACCAAGCAAAAAGGCAGGGGGAAAACTGGGATCAGCTGCTGAAAATAGGTCTTAAATCATCAAGAAATCAACAAAGGAAGCAAGGTTTGGCCGCTGCCCTGCCACTTGCTGAGTCTACAATATGGGCCTTCAAATGTGTCCCCGGTGCAAATTAAAAAAAGTACAGGAGGTTTTTCTTGCAGCAATAAAGAATAAATACAATATTAAACAACAGGAAGTAAAGCAAGCATGTAATTGTAGGCACGAAAAGGAAAATACACACTAGAAGTCTAATGTTATTTGTGCCTACAGCTCCCTGGATTTCTCTTGCCACCCGAGAGGCCGAGGAATTAATGCCTCGTGCTGCAGCTGCCTGTGGTGAGAATTGATCCTTGGGGTGCTCCATGTTTTTATCAAACTCTATTTAAACCCTAATGATGCTTTTTCTGTCCCTGAGGATGGCAACACGGTACCTCTGAAAAGCAAATCTTATGCTATCAGGGTTCTCTGTTCTGCTGCTACTCCATTTCAAGCCTTTTGATTTGGGTGGAGCGAGTACTCCGTAAGCTATCAAGCCTGCCAGCAAATAGGGTACATTTTATTTCCTCAGTGTTTATTCAAAATGATTCAAGCTGATTATAATTTGACATCTTGTTGCTTTTATTCCACTGTCCCTTACAGCTAGAAGTTTTTTTTTTTAACTCGCTTAAAAATAAAAGACGTTGAAGTTATTTGTATTTTTGGAAGAGAATTTAACGTTGGTGTCAGAGTGGCAGCTCTGGAGGTTGGACACCAGATGTTTTTTCTCTGACCTGCACAGTCAGCAGCAGCGCAGCATCACGCCCCTCTCTCACCTGAACTTGTTCTGGCAGGATGACACTGAAGAGTGACAGAAACTCTGACCTTTCTCCTTATCCTCAGCCTGCAAACAAGTGGCTAAGTGAAATGACTTGGGATCGTTCGGTTCGTATACGTAGCTTCGTCTACCAGCAACCTGACCAAAGCCCCACTGACTCCCTGTTTGTGAGGTACTGAATGCAGAAGGCAGCATGGTTTGGTTACTAGTAGACTGGGGCTGGATTCGTTTTTGCGCCCAACAGAGAAGCTGTGCCAGAGGGGAATTGCACACCGCTGCTGCTGAAGTAGGGCATTTCCTCTTATGTCTTGATAGGGAAAGGCAGCTGTAAAATCCAGCTGCAACTCAAGTACAGTCCTGCCAGCTAATGATGATTTCTTGTGTTTTGGCCAGCCGAGCCTACTTTGACTTCAGCTCCCTTAATTCTACCAGAGAGCAAACACTGCAGAAAACTTTTTCCTCACATCTCCAGCCGTAGGTGCATGTAGAAGAGCCAGTGTCATATTAACAATGAGGTAATTCTGAGCTTCTCTATCATCACTATGAGAAGGGGAAGCAAATTTTCAACATAAAAATCTACATTACAGAAATAGTTTGTTTGTTGCATTTCTTCAGTTCCTGATTTTAGGAGTTATATTATCATTGCATTTGGATGAAAAAGATACCATACGTAGTATGCTGCATTTTGCACTGACGTGTCCTTTGCATCCAGTAGATGCTATGTATCGGCATCTCTTTTTACTTCAAGACTGTAGGTCTGAGCTCAGGGAACCCGCTGATGAACGAGGAAACAGAATGGCATTTTCTGGTTTCAGCAAGAAAGAGGTGAGTTTGGGTGGAATGAGTTTGTGCTCTGGGAGCTGGACTTATCTTCAGAGCACCAACAGCACTTGCAAGCAAGAAGAAAGAACAGCTCCTGTCTAATGGGGTCAGATAGCTTAATGGAGCAGCTTCTGCATGGTGGTGGATTGTATAATTTTAAGCTGGGCCGTGGCGTGTCTGGTTCTAATAGCACCTTTGACTTTTCGGAGTGACTCAGCCATTGCTTGAGGCTAATTATGGGCAGGTTAGACAAAAAACCCTCACAACTTGATCCTGCTTTCCTAACTTCCAGGGGATGGGTATGCAGCACTGACGGGGATTGCTCCCTGCAAAGCGGGGTAAGTCCTTGCTCATGAGGAAGAGGATTTTCAAAGAAAGGCTCCAAACAACAGTTGGAAGGAAAGGCTTTACCTAGCAAGGCATTGCTCGATCAGATCTGACTTGCTGTCGCTGCTGCTTTATAAGGCAGTGAGATTCCAACATAGTGTCGGTAATGTAGCCCCTTACTAGCTAATGCTTCTCTATAAGGACTACAGGAGCGTTTTGTCTGTGTTTGTAATGGCGATTTTGTTAAAGTCAGCATTGTAGTAATTTTTATGACTATGTTTTAGAAATGGGCCATGTGGTTATTTGGCTCCTTTTAAAATTCAGCAAAGTGTTCATCACTGTGATATACTCTGGAAGAAAGTACTCTTAACTGTACCATATGAGGTATGAAGTGTTATTTACCTTCTCCACTTCAGAGGCACCATGAAGTAGGTACCAGAAGCAGGTCATATGCTTGAAGGCAGCTCTGAAAATTTCTGACAACACTATGGAGGTTGTCAGCACAACACTATGGAGGTTGTCAGCACAACTGAAAGTATTATTTGTGCAGACCTGATCCTTGCTAAGAACAACTTCTATCATTTTTAAAGCATACACAGGACAAAAATAACAGTAGTATACCTGTATGCCTAGCATTACATACAGAGGTTTAGGGGAGCTGCAAAAAGCTGTTAAAGATGAATTTGCAGGAAGTTTCATGACTTCTTCCTTCAGGCTCTGCTGGACTATGCTTATACAAAACTCTCTTGTCAAAAATGCTTCCTCCAAAAGCAACACCATCACAGGCAAAAATCTCCAGGATATCAAGTCCAGGAGAGAGCACGTGTCCACCACAGAACAGGTCCCCCAAGAGGCAGTGGAGTCTCCATCCGTGGAGATTTGAGAGTCGTGAGTAGACAAAGCTACGGCTGACCTGATCTAGTGCTGGTGATAGTCCTGCTTCAAGCAGAAGGTTGGACTAAATGACATGCAGACATCCCTTTCTGCCAACATTTCTTTGATTTTATTATTTTTTTAGAAACTGTGATGAAGTTCTAACCACAACCTGCTCTTAGTCTACCTTTAAAGATAATTCAGAGGCAATGGCAGATGAAAAAGCAAACAAAATGAAGAACAAAACTGGTGAGGTTTCAAAACTTGTTTTCAGGTCTTTACAAGTACAAAGATAGAAATTCAGGACTTTTGCAGTCACTTGTTTGTATCCTTAGCAGGGACTGCTGTAAAATGAGGCTGA